TATAAGATGTTTTTGTTATTTCAACGAGATTTAAATCATTTAAACAAAATGCCGAGAAAACTTGAAATCTCAGGCCTTGATTTTTATTATTATTGATTTTTTGTTCTACAAATAGACTCGGAGATAACGGAAATGTACACAAACGCTCCTCGGAAATTGTATTGAATGTTTTATCAATGAGTACTTGTGAAGAAACATTTTTTGATGTCATGCGAACAGTGTACTTCTCGAATGTATGTCCTTCTCCATCGATAATACTTTGATATTAATCGACACGCTCTAAAAGTCAACTACTTTTCCCATAAATCTCAAATGCTAACACTGTGGTATATTAGTGTCGAAATAAAAAAATAATTCTATGACAAACGGCCCATGGAGTTTATTTTTCAGGGTTTCCGGAAAATCGTTCAGAATTACTCATGGTAAACTTTTATTATCATAACTAATTTCATAACTCCAATTTACAGTAGACTGATACTAAATCATTATTATTATTATTTATTTATTTTATTTTACACTATGATAAAATTATGGATTCTTCCGCTGTTAAAGTTATATTTCTTGAGTACCAAAGACACTCTTCTAATGTCATTACCGTCCAGTTACAGATGTTAGAAAACCGTGATGGTCGTCATCTTGGCTAACAATTAATTCTATCTAATTACGGGTAATAGAGTGACGGCGTTTCGTATAGGCAATTCGGATACATTATTATTAATTTATTGGCCGACTGCGTTGTTTGATCGAATCCTTCCCGTTTAACATTTCATAGTTTCACTGACAAACCACCAGCGCACAATATATTCTAATTACCGACTTCCTACCACCGGATTTTTCAAATTCCTCAGTCTCATCCCTTCAGTCGGCCCGAAGCTTATGCCGAACAACAAAACAATACCTACACCACAGAGATTATAATTAGTATAAATTAAATGCATCTCAACACAACTGTATTGATGTACGCAGTATAATAATTTTAGTACAAGGATCATTTATAACAACAATTGTGTAATCGCGGTCGAGGAAGACGACCAATAATGTTGTTGATTTCATCGCGGTTAATTTATTCAAACAACAAGCTATTTTGATGACATTTTTCACAATTTTTATGTTTATTAAGCCTATCTTTTAACTCGCGTAAGTCGTTATGAATTCCATGGTCTACCATCTCTTATGTTATTTGATAGCAGTCTGTGTTGGTCTCTCTATTATCTTTCTACCTTTTGTGGGTTGCGTGTAGGAATCCATTTGTTTTTTTACTGGGTCGGGATGGTATCGTGACGAACAAATGGACCGGGATCTAATGATGATCCGGAAGATAAACAGGACAAGTTCGAATTTACCGAAATCGAGTATACTTAAACGAATGTATACACTTAAATGTACATGTGAAATTGAGGCAACACTCGACACTTTAAGTAAATGTGTAACGCAAAAAAGGCATATCCCGCAGATCGGCTGTGGAGAGTAAAGTGTATGAAACCCATTGCGTCCGAAATCCTCTCCGCCGTTCCCATGGATACCGCGGGCGGCTGCGATAATCATGTATGCGCTGGTTGCGTGTCTATAGAGCATTAAGGGGCCCACGTGAACGTGGAATTGTGTGCGAGCTTCTACCGTTTACGTTTTTTGTTACTGTAGACGCACTTAACGCACATTATCATTTTCGCGAGTGTACAATATTCATTATATAAAAGGCGTTTTGCACGCTAAATCTGGTCCACCGGTGTCACTAGCGTTTGCTCGTCCAGTGCACATTGGGCTTTGCTGTTTTTTGGAAAAAATTATTTTCTTAAATAACATTCAAACGTTTTGCGCGCGTGACTTGCGTACACAATACTCGGTCGTTTCGAATATTTAATATCCTTGTATGGCATAATAAACAATAAGCACCGGCTCATAATATATTGTCACACCGTAGACTGTGCTTTTTTAATGAGCAGCATTTAACCGGCGCGACCTCAAAATATCATTAGGCCGCTACGTATCCGTTTGGACATTTGTACTTGAAGTAAAAATATTCAAGTGGCTAAAATAATTCGGATAAACATTTCGTATCGTACTGGTTTTTATGGTCGCAAAATGATTTATGCGATAACAAATGGTTAACATGTTTTCACGAGTCGTATTCTCCTTAATGATAATGTCATACGCACTGTGTTTCATTAGTATGCCACTAAAAGATTTCGAAGCCCATGAAACAGCAACGGTCGTTCACAATGTTCTATGATCCGGCCGGGCGTACACTTCGTTGTACCCACTGATCTGTGTCTTTTATTCGCAACGACTGACGAAACGCCTGTAAGTCAACCGACCGAACTCGATCCATGTCTACAGCTGTTGAAATACATTATTGTATTTGCTGATGTGACATCGTGAGGTTGTCCCCCGGTGACCGTATTTCTAGCAAACTCGGCCAAAAGCAAGTGCGTCCCATTTGAATATTGTAGCCGTTTCTTTGTAAAATAAAAAAAAACACATAGTTTATTCTTCTTCCGAGATCGGTATCTACTCCAAACAACCACAATAGAATTATCAGTTATCGTTTGTTTCGATTAATTAGCGTCGTGACAATCGAACATATCATATATATATATATGCATAGACACGATGCTTCAGAGCTCAAAACTAATTTTAAAAAGTATAAAATTACTGTATTCTGCCTACAAGGATTTCCTTGACATTATTATCTTTCGCGCGAATTCCTTAAGGACCGTTTGTAGTCTGATCATTACATTTGAGTGTATTTCCGTTTGAAAACCAAAAAAAAAGTACTCTGTACTTGCCCGTTTATATGATTTTTTAAACAAATCTGTGAAATTTAATGTTTTAACGGAGAGCGTGAAATATAATCTCCAGAATTATGCTTCGTATGCGTCTTGTTTATCAACGGTATTATCTCTTCTGTTTATATCTTGTAACACTTTTAAACGAATTAGTCGTTTGCCAAATTGATTATTATTGTTTGAGTATTGCCATTCGAGGAATTTTTGTTCGATTTAGAAAATCGTATTATTTTTTCAACAGCGCGTCAAAAGTCCGTTAAGTGTATTGTTACAGTGAAAACCATATTATTGATATGTGTGTGTCTGTACGGAGGTTCATATTTTAAGAAAAGTATATTTGGTTCGAGTCAATGACGTACTTGTCGATAAAAATCTGTCGCAATGTAGAAAGTCTATTTGCAGATGTCGGTGATTTAGGTAGATTCGATTAATACAAATGCTATTTTTAAGCGGCACATGAATATTTATAAGTTTATAGCGTCAAATGTAATTTTGAAAATGCTCAGACAAAAGCGACGTAATTCATTTTATGACTAAAAATACTTGATTAACCATAAGATCATTGTTCTCGTAGCGAAAAAAAATGAATAAAGCACATACGTTTACTTTATGTGTTCGGTAATATCCCGTGACAATGCTAATTAACTAGGTATGTACGGTAAATGGTTATTTTTATATTTTATTATTTAGCATACAGTTTGAACATTGTCATTAATAAATATTATAATTATTTTTTAAAACGCTTTTGCGTCGCACACCAAATTGTAGATACAGTTTGTGTGTGTGTGTATTTTATGAGCGAAAATTCTTTTGATCTCGAGGTCGGCCAGACGCACAGATGAATGACGTAGAACGCGCTTAAAGCCGTTCGTGTTTGACGCCTATTGTCGCCAGGTCCGGATCTGTGTGTTGATCACGATCTCTCGGAGGGTTCGACCCAATGGCGGGCAAGGTCGCGCGGTATAGTCTTCGGCCCGATTCCGGTCGTTCTTTTTTGTTGACTGCCCGAGGCGACTGTGTCCTGAGAGCTTATGGCCCATTGTACTGTAAGGTTAACTCCGGTTGTCGAGACGTTTCCGCCAACGACCAGCGTACTCACGTGTTTGCAGCTAACACTCGCCATCGTTGATGGCCAGCCGTCTGTGCACATTTACACAACGATTGTAATCGACGGAGAATCGAAATTATATGACTCTCGTTTTTTCCGCGTCGTGATTCCAAAACGCTTTTTGTTGTTGTCGTGGCCGTCGAAGAGAGCCCAGTGGCACGACCACCACATTATTCGGTGGGCCGCCAATCAAACGAGTCACAACAATCGCATGGAGTGGTATTGAATTACTGTGTTTGGCAATCGATTCTAACATTGAAGGGGTCATATGAATTGTCCGAGGTGCGGGTTTTAGAGCCAATACCGCGCGTTATATGTCTCGGGTCGACATTCGATTTGCGGACAAATTAAATTCGAATCATGTTTACATGGGGAAATGGACTTTACTCTCGTGTTTTCGCGTGCATCGCAACCTTGTGTCCAAAACGCGTTCAGCGAGCTCCGGATTTTTTAACAATTCAACCGCCGTGCGTATTGGCCGTACACTTGTATTATTGAGCTTTCGTACTTGAACGAGTCCGACATTCGTTATTATGTCGAAATTCAATAACAATAAATTAATGATACATCTCTTCTGTCTATCATTGTGCACTCGATAGAATATAAATCATTTTCTTCCTGTAACCTACTTAACGATATCAAACGAATAGCAAAATATTCTATTCGAAACAATTTTCCATAATCTTTTTACTCGTTAAGTGATTCGAAGTATTACCTCGTAGGTAATCGTTTAGCTGTTAATAAAGACATTTTCGAATAACCCAACGAAAAATCAAACTCAAGGCCTTTTCACTTTATTACCTGCGTATGTTTGTTTGAGCAATTTAATTTTCACCTTAGTGACGTCTTCTAATGCATTTTTAAATCAATCTGTTAACGCGGATTATGTTTTATTATGCTTTTTTTTTTTTTTTTGAACCAAAAAAATCGTCCGGTCAGTTTATAATATCCACTCGGTTGATTACTGATTACTTTCCCAGTAAATACTTATATTCGTTGGATATTCTTAGAATATTTATTGAGTTTCTAATTTTTTTTTTTTTTTTTTTTTAATGTTAGAACCAAACATTTCTCTTACTAATGAATAAATATATTTGTTTTCACAGATTCTCGCTTCGCTTACAGTATCATTATGCTCAATGGTAGTTGGATTCGCGTCCGCTTATACGTCACCAGCTTTACCCTCAATGAATTCCCCGGGAAGTCCTATCACTGTCAGCGAAGAAGAAGTAAGTAATACCTCAGAGGGTTGTTATCATATTAATTCATACATATTAACATATGCTTGTAATATACTAATGAATGAATGTTTTTTTTCTTGTTCGTAGGGTTCTTGGATTGGCAGTCTTATGCCACTAGCAGCGCTCATAGGGGGTATGGCTGGTGGTCCCCTTATAGAATCGATTGGTAGAAAAACTACCATTCTCGCCACTGGAATTCCTTTTATTGTTTGTAAGTAAATTAATTTATTTCAACAACTTTAAGTTAGATAAAAATAAAAAAAAAAGATAAAAAATTCTCACCATACGTTTCGTAATCAGGAAGTTTTAGAATTCAGGTCTAGGTCTAGCCACTTGTAGTGTTAACCTACTTATAGAATTGCATTTTTTCTCCAAATCTTTGAGTATCTGTTATTAAATGATCATTAAACCGTGTCAATGTTTGATTGATATAATCGATAACTTTGATTATTGATTACCTATATTGATATTGTTATTTTTCTTTTTGTTTGCAGCGTTTCTTTTAATAGCCTTTGCAGTTAATGTACATATGGTGATGGCAGGTAGAGCTATTGCTGGATTCTGCGTAGGAATCGCTTCACTCGGTCTTCCCGTATACTTGGGTGAGACCGTTCAGCCTCAAGTTAGAGGTACTTTGGGTCTTTTGCCAACCACTTTAGGAAACAGTGGAATCCTTTTGTGTTTCATTGCTGGTAAATACTTAAACTGGCAGATGTTGGCAATCCTCGGGGCTTGTATTCCCGTACCGTTCGTAATTTGTATGTTCCTCATCCCCGAAACTCCTCAATGGTTCATTAGCAGAAGTAAGACCACATATTTTAAACCTCCACTAATATCAATTGATTCGTTTGACTCATAATTTTTTTTTTTCATATCTTTAGACAAAGGAAAAAAAGCAAAAAGAGCGTTGCAATGGTTAAGAGGTAAAAATGCTGACGTATCACAAGAATTCAGTGAAATTGAGAAGGCAAATACAATGGGGAAAAACGAAGAGATGCCAGGATATTTAAGCCTGTTTTCTAAAATGTACTCGAAACCTCTTCTTATATCTATGGGTCTTATGTTATTCCAACAATTTAGCGGTATCAACGCAGTCATATTTTATACTGTAAAAATTTTTAAGGTAAATATCATTACTATTGAAAACCGTTTGTATAGTATTTAATTTTGTTGAAATATTTTTGTATTTTAGGAAGCGGGTAGCAGTATTGACGAAAATTTGTGCACCATCATTGTTGGAATAGTCAATTTTATCGCGACATTCATTGCGACGGCTCTCATTGACAAACTTGGAAGGAAAATATTGTTGTACGCTTCAAGCGCAACTATGGCCGTCACTCTGATAACATTAGGCACGTTCTTCAACTACAAGAAGAACGGTTACGACGTCACAGAATTCGGATGGTTGCCATTGGTCAGCTTCGTATTTTTCATTGTCGGTTTTGCAATTGGCTTTGGTCCAATCCCGTGGTTGATGATGGGAGAAATTTTGCCCGGTAAGTAGAGAGACGCGCGCGCGAAGCGATACTGATAAAAACATATAAGCAATTTTAAATTTAATGAATGTTTAATGTTTTTACAGCTAAAATCAGAGGAACCGCTGCATCTTTAGCAACGGCGTTCAATTGGGCATGTACATTCTTAGTAACCAAAACTTTCTCGGACTTACTCAGGGTGTTAGGGGCAGACGGCGCATTTTGGCTTTTTGGCGGTATTTGTCTAACCGGATTAGTGTTCATAATTTTTTGCGTGCCAGAAACTCAGGGCAAAAGTTTAGAAGACATAGAACGAAACCTTACTGGTGTGGGTAAGGGTCCCGTTCGACAAGTGAGAAGAATGAGTTCCATAGCGCATCTGAAGCCGCTACCTATGGCCATTTAAAAAACTGCAACGCCATTTCACCAATATTTCTTCGGAATTATTATTGCAACTTTTTTTTTTCAATACTAATTCGTTTTCATAGAAATAATAACTATGCGCATTTTACGCGTTTATATATATCATTTGATACTTTTTACAATGTAAACTTTTTAAAATATTTTAATTTTTACGATTATATTTTAACTTAAGTAAGCATTGGCCATTTAAAAGAAAAATATGCGTTAGACTACACTGTTCTAAAGTGTATTTGTATAATGGTGCTAAAATATTCCAGACAATAATGTAAAATTAGTCGGATCTATTTTTAAGAGCTACCTGTCAAATGGTCCACATTCCGGAGATTAGGTGAAGTTCCATTTTTTTTTTATGTTTTTGTCATATGATAGAAATAGCACATCCATCTTATATAAATGTAAAATTGATTAACATTTCTTAAAAAAAATATGTATAAAAACAATTCTCCAATCCAAATACCAATTTTTATTCATAGAAATGTTCCATGTTTAACTATTAATTATTAAATTAGTGGGGCACTTGTTATTGTACTTACTATTTTTTATTTGCATTAATTGAATTGATTTTATTTTTCATGGATTAATTACTAATCAGCATTTATACTCATATAAATCTATATATATATATATAAATTTAATTAATACCTATTGATATGCTTAAGCCACACGTTATTTTAAGGAAGGTGTCTTCGTATTTGGAGTTTATAATGCGTGTAAAGTAAGGTTTCTTATATTTTTTTGGCTACAACATTCAATTTCATTTATTGGCCACAGTAAATATTTTAAGTATTTCAATAATATATATTTATATTTAAATTTTCGTTTGACTACTGCAATCAGTTTTGAAAAATTCTATTTTAAAATTACAGAAAATTCAGTTTATCAAAAAAATTAACTATTTTTTTGTGTCTCTAAAGTAAATAAAAACTTACTCATTATTTTTGCTATAACTGTTATAAAAAATATTCCCACATAGTTAATAGAAATTTTTTAGACGATGCCCTGCATAAATCAATATTAAATTAACGATAGATATGTAATAATAAAGTATTTTTTCAACAGGGTGAATAAAATTTTATAGGTACAATTTTAACAGACTGGATTATATTTTTCTTTTCTTTTTATTTTAATGTGATTTCATATAATTTCGATTGAAAAAACCTCGCGGTCATCTTTTTTTTATTATCACAGAATTATAATAAAAAAATATGAATTTTGCTAGTTTCGTTTAACAAACGAACAAAATTATGTGATTTAATTAATATATTTATATAATGTATGTTTTTTATTATTATTAAATTTAGTTACCATCATTAAACTATTTATTTTGTATTTTATTTGTTAGGACATTATTTATTGAAATATAGTTAAATATAGATACTTGGACGACATGTTATTTATTTCTAGATTTTATTTATCATTAATATAATATATATATATATATATATATAAAGATAAAGTAGAGCTCAAGTAGCATAAATATAATAGTGTCGTCAATTATTACAGAAAATGAAGCAATAGTCGATTATTATACACATTCCTTTTGACGAAAATTTAAAACTTTTCATCAAATATGTAAAAAGTTAAGGTCTTTTTTAAATTTTCATTATTTATATACATTATTGATAAAAAAATGTGGCTTAAGCACCTTTGTTAAATCTGTGTATTGATTCATTGTATTTATTAAACATTAATATATATATATTATATGTAATGTATAATATAATATACAACATAAAATTTTAGAGACTTAAACTTTTTTTATATATAAACGTAAATATAAAATGCATTGTTTTATTTATTTTTGTATTACAAAATTATTTGAATGTTTTACTTAAGCATGATTTGATTTGTGTACAAATAAACATATAATTTGTTGAAAACATCATATTGTAATTTTTTTTATTAATTTTCTATTGAATTGTTATAGAATATTTTTATTCCTAATGTGCTCGTATATCAACCGTATATTAAATAGTATCAGTGTCGGTGCTCTGATTGTGGCAAATTATAGACGCAGAGCTCAAAACTTAATTAAAATTACAACAAAATGACAACAATTTTTTTCTTATAATGTACAGCTCCGACTTCGAGGTAAATGATCTGAAACATTTATAACTACATAATTGTATACTATAAACTTATAAAATAATTATTTAAAAAATTAATTAACATTTATAAAATAATAAGAATGTTCTAAAGTAAATTTTAAGGAAATATCTGGTAGTTCTAACCAGTGGTGTATTTAGTGGGAGGGCAGGGGCACGTACCCCCCATTGACTGAGTCATGTAAATATTTTATCAAGCAATGTAATAATGTATTATATTATTAGAAAAATTTATTTTTTGGTTATGGATAATAACATGGATTTATGAAATGTTATTATCCATAAAGTTGTCTTATGGAGCAAAATTTGACACCCGCACAGTTGCCCCGTTAATGTTATCACCTATTTATAAAGTGTTAATTACATAGAGATACACCTGTATAAAAAGATATATTTTTATTAATAAAAATGATTTCAAAACAAATAACAGATTTTTTTGAAAAAATCTAAAACATGTGTTTAATACAGATTGATTGACTATGTCTCACGAATTTTCTTTAAAAATATTAATGTTATCATATATGTAATTATTTTATTTGTTATACATCTTTGTTGATAAGAAAAATAAAGATTCCATCTTCATCCCTTAACCCTCAAATCAATATCAACTTTAGTTTTTCAAATAGCAACCCAGTTTTTTTAGCTTGGATGCGAAGCTGAGAAGGTATTAGTTTTACTAAGATGTGTTTATTTTTTATTTTTTTTTTTTTGTGTCTTACCACTTTTTCTCAGCTCTCACCGAACCGATTTCTTTCAATGATACGTCAAAATATCACAAATCGTATCTAGTCGAAGACATTACCCTCAAAAATTGAAAAAAATTCCCTCGTTCCCCATAAATGGGAGAAACCTCCAAAAAAATTATAAATTTAAAAATCGCTAATTTTTGAAATTTTTTTTACTAAAAACTGCCGTAACTTTTTAAAAAATAACCAAATCAATATAATTTTTTTTTTTTATAGATGCTTAATGTCTTTACCTATCATTTGGTATATATTTTTTATAAATTTGATCCTTTACCTGTCCACAGGTGGGATTAAAAATGACAACTTTCTCCCAAAAAATTAAAATTTTCAAGTTTTTAAACTTTTTAAAGTGTTCCGGAAATACTGACACTTTTATATATACCTTAAATTAAAGTCTACTTTATTATGAGAAAAAAAAAAATGTACTTTATTTTGTCTTCAATATGAAAATAGCTACCAAATGCTATTATTGTGTGAAAATTCTCGATTTTATTTTTTACATTTTTAACTTTATTATGCTATAACTTATTGAAAAGTGTATGGATCAATACAATTTTTTCATGAGAAATAATATTTTTTAATAATCCCTTTTTCATTCGACATACTTTATCTTAATTAGGATATTAATAATGAACTAGCAGATCATGTAGCTTTTGGAATAATCCACCAATTTTTTAAAATTAAACACTATCTAAAGATTTGCATCGAAGCGTTT